CTGGGCGTCCCCGGGGTCCTGAACTGGTTCTGGGGGGGCCCCAGGGGGGTCCTGATCTCATTCTTGGGGGGTCCCAGGGGGGTCCCGCTCTGATTTTGGGGGTCCCGGGGTGTTCTGGTCCAGTTCTGGGGGTCCCAATCCAATTTTGGGGATCCCGGGGTGGTCCTGGTCTGGTTTTGGGGGTTCCAGGGTGGTCCTGATCCAGTTCCGGGGGTCCTGGTTTCATTCTTGGGGGGTCTTGATCCAATTTTGGGGGTCCCAGGGTGGTCCTGATCCAGTTCCGGGGATCCCAATCCGATTTTGGGGGGTCCCGGTCCGGTTCTGGGGGTCCCGGGGTGGTCCTGGTCCGATTCCAGGGGTCTCAATCCAATTTTGGGGGTCCCAGGAGGCTCCTGGTCCGGTTTTGGGGGTCCCAGGGTGGTCCTGGTTTCATTCTTGGGGGGTCTTGATCCAATTTTGGGGGTCCCAGGAGGCTCCTGGTCCGGTTTTGGGGGTCCCAGGGTGGTCCTGGTTTCATTCTTGGGTGGTCCTGGTCTGGTTCCAGGGGTCCCAATCCGATTTTGGGGGGTCCTGGTGTGGTTCCAGGGGTCCCAGGGTGGTCCTGATCCAATTCCAGGTGCCCTCAGGTGTATCTCAGGTATATCCCAGGTATCCCCAGGTGTGTCTCAGGTGTGTCTGAAGCCCCCAGGTGTGACCAGGTGTCCCAGGTGTGTCCCCCCAGGTGTGTCTGAAGCCCCCAGGTGTGCCCCAGGTGTATCTCAGGTGTGCCCAGGTGTGCCCAGGTGTGTCTGAACCCCCCCCAGGTGCCCCCAGGTGTATCCCAGGTGCCCCGGGTGTGTCTGAACCCCCCCAGGTGTATCTCAGGTATATCCCAGGTGCCCCCAGGTGCCCCCAGGTACCCCCAGGTGCCCCCAGGTGTACCCCAGGTGCCCCCAGGTGTATCTCAGGTGCGCTCACCTGCGCGTCAGCTTGGAGGTGATCTTGCTCAGCAGCGTGGCCGTGGGGCGGGGACGGGGGGAGGCGGCGCTGGGGGGAGACAGGTGCGCTCACCTGCGCGTCAGCTTGGAGGTGATCTGGTTTGACAGTGCCAAGTGCCTCCTGCAAACTGACATCAGGAACCTGGCCT